ACGTACAGATCGATTGAGTATACAGTTGTTTGTCAGAGCTAGGCCAATACAAGGCACATAAGTATATATCCAAATCTCTTCCAAACCTCTGTGTTAAGTTCATCAGTCCTTCTGTCCTCCCTTTTGCTTGCCCTTTTATTTTCTACAAAGCGCACGTATCTCCACACACGTTTTTCCTTCTTCCAGATACGTGTATTTCTAGTGTTCACATCTCTTCTACTTTTTCTAGTAAGTATATATCATCCAAAGCTTTTAAAAAGAGCTCTTTATGAATTTCTCGTAAGTTTTGCCATTGTTTGTAACTGAAAACTGATTCGTCAACAAAGGTGCAATCTTCTTGAATTTTTTAGAGTTGTCCTCTGCATGTGTGTTATTTCTTATTGCTCTTAGGGCACATCTGCACCACAGCCATTTTGGTTACAGCACTTTGTGTAAGAGGCTACTACATCCTATTGTTTCCAGTGATCTAATGGCTCTCTTTAAGAGCAATTTGTGAATCTGGGGTCATTGAATACTTTGGAAGACTGCTGCACTTCTCAGAATAATCACCTAACTGTAGGCAAGATACAATTTCAGTCCTATTGAGAATAATGGCACCCGACTTTTGAAAAAGGGCAGTCCTGCTGGGGATGTGATGCAGTTGGATGCTACTCTTCAGCCCTTTCTGAGAGAGAAACTTTCTTATGCAGAATAAAAGGGAAAAACTGACCTTTTGTTCTAAAATAAAATTTTCAAGTGCACACAATCTCTCTAAGATACAGCAAAAAGAGAAATTTTAAGCATCTGTTATTCCATTTTTAAGACTATTAGGGAGAAATATATGATGTAATTTGTTTAATTTCTTAGACAGCTTTTCCTAAAGTGTGTTTTGACTGAAGGTAACCAACTTGCTTACAAATACTCAGAAAACCCATTTGGTTTTCATGAGTAATGCTTGTAATTTGGGATGAGCTGAATTCTTGTAAATGCTGCTAGCCCTAGGCCATGGGATGTGCCTTTGCTGTGGGGATAGATGGCTGTTCCTTCTGGCTGGCCGTGCTGTCATGATGCAAGTGCTAATAAATGTGTGTGAATTCATGCGTGTGCTCTGGAGCTGAACTAAGCGTAAGTATTTCCTTTACCCAGCTATCTCCTCTTGCCCTTCTGCTCTGTGTGATAATAAGCTACTAAAACCATGCCAGTTTAGGATGCTATCCCAGTGATTTCCCTATCAAATTCTACCATTTGTGGGATGATATTCCCCCTGGAACAACAGATGAAGGAGGAAGGCAGGCTAATTGATTCAGCACTCCCCCACTGCCTCTGAGCACAGGCACTTAGCTGTAATAATTGTGAAACAGAAGAATTTGCGCTGAGTTATAAACTAGTGTCACGGAACTCAGTAAATGGTGGATACTTCATGAACTGTCAGCTATTCAGAGCATTGCCATATAGTTTTACTGTTTCAATGCACTTTTCCAACTAGTATCTGTAACTAATGTAGTTTCCCATATTAAGGTGGCGTGATGTTCATAGTGTATAACCATGGAAGGGGGAGAAGCTAGGTTTTTTCCTTAATAAAACCATGCCCGTAAGCTGCTAAATAACAGCTGTATTTCAGTGCATTCAGGAATCATGGCTTAATATTCATGTCTCCTTTGCCCAGTTTAGAACCAGCAAGACCTTATACGAAAAACTCTTCCCATTAGTGTAACTCCACCCACTGCTAAAATATTGAGTGTTAATTTTCACACCAAACAACAAAACGGGTGTCTAGTCTCTGTGTAATGTGCACTGACAGAATGGCATTTCTCAAGAAAATTGGTTAGCTAAAGAAATAATACCCTAGCATCTTGCAAGTGTCCAGTGTGGTTGCTTTACAGCGATTGTTTAAATTAAGCATTAAGATTTCTGTTGCTAGCATGCACCTCTAAAAAATTAATATTGCTTTTGCAATTTGGAGTGTAAAGCAGCAGTATATAAAGCAGCAGACACATTTTGGTGGACTTTTTCTTTAACTAAGCATGATTCCAATTTGGAAAAAGAAGAAAGACTACATCTTCATTATCCAATTAAAAAAAAAAACCAAACATATTCAGATAGAAGGAAATGCAATTCTTTTCATTGATTTCCACACAGAAGTTTATAATATTTCCGAGAAATATTTCTGAGCTGGTGTTTTCTCTTTAATAGCATGCTCCCACCTGTCTTCTTCTTTGTTGTCTTAGCAGAGAGCTTTCTCCCTTTCTGCATTGAACTCAATTTTTTTGTTGCAGATTTTCTTTCAAATATGTCATGAATGTTTATGCAAACAAGTAGAAATTTGAGTAAAGCTTCTGAGTTACTGTAAATGCCCAAAGCTCTTATCAGACCTCTGTCCTTCTGGTGGCGATTGATGAGACTTATGGGAATTAATTTTCTTTCCCAACTACCTGCAACGAAGCCAACTTTCACATATATAGTCATGTAATAGAGTCTCAAACCCTATTCACATTGTGTAGGTGATAATACCAAAAGCACCCATTTGTTCATTCTGGAGCATATGCTATATTTTAATTTAGGACCATGCACATTTTAACGTGAATGAACTTTCAACCTGTCTTTTGTCGGCATTTTTATGTTGCTGGATACTGCTCAGGACTGAACGTTATCAACCTTGTCCTTTTCAGAAGCTGTTTGTGGACTTCTAGAAGAGACTAAATGAGGTCTCATTCTTGTAGCTGTATTCTACTTAATCAGAGACATTTTTAAGGTGACAGTGGACTGTTTGGATGGGATTCAGTTGCCTAAAGTGGCACTAAATGCCTACTCTTAGATACCCAACTGCTGCTTTGCCTCTTGCTGTCAGTCTCAAAGAGTGCAAATCTCCTGCAGATCTTGTCATATCTGCCACTCAAATGTGAATGTCTCAGATTTTCTACAGTATCTCAAATGACACAAAGCATTTATGCTTAAGCAACTGAATCCTACCTTTTTCAGTGAGAGAAAAACATTATTTACCTGTATTCCTTTAGTTATTTGCTGCTTATGAAGCCTCAATAATTTTAGCACTCGAGCTCTCTTCTTAGTATTCACAGATTGTATTGCTCCAAAATTTGCTGCTCCTTGTTTTTATTTCTGAATATGTACAATAAGTGAAATAAATTTGGTTTTGTCTCCATTACTTTCTATAACAAAGTAACTTCCTGTAACACTGCTAGGAAACTTGAGTTATTTGCTGTTTAACACCATTTAAATGCAGGAAAATGTCAATAGTGAAGCTCAAGCTGTTTGGCTTTTCTGAAGGTCTGTACATATGGCATGTGACTCACAGTGGGTGTACTTTATGGTTGGTATAATTCATATTTTGAAACAGAGAAGCAAAGTTTTATTTGGGAAGTCTTCATATGTTCATTATTTAGCCTTCATGTTTTAAAATGCTGTTTAGTACCAAACATCTTGGAGTTTATGGAACAATTTTCCATTTTAAAATTGAATTTCTGTGTATTGCATTCTGGACTCTCTATCCATGATCACTCCTGAAAATATTTTAAAATGAAAGCTATGGAGTTTGGAAGCACTTTGAAAAGAGTGCCAAAGTTAGGCTTTTCTGGAGTGGCCAGAGGGAAAACTTTTATGCCTTATTTTTAACCATCAGATATAAAAATACTGCATCCAGAACACTAACTAAATTAATTCTTTTTCCACACACTGCAGCAGGTCTAATAACAAATTTAAAGGGCAAGTGAGGAATGTGTTGAGGAGAAACAATAGAACTCTTGCTTGAAAATACAAGAGAAAAATTCAAAGCTCTCTTGGGCTACTTTAAGTTCAGCAAAAACATATGTGTGTTTTGAAGCTAAATTTTTCTCACTACATTTTTATTAAAAAAAAATCCCAACTGTTGCATACATTTTAAGAGGGCATTTATTTTACTCATTGTATATAAATATTAAGATGTTTTCTATCTCTTAAAAGAACAACTACGAAATACCTGCAAGATGATGAAAACAAACTTGCCATTGCCTAAATTTTTGGATGGATGCTTGCTTGATGTACTTGAAAAAATACACAAATTATTCTGATTGTCAATTTAAATTTATTGCAAGATGGGAGAATCATGACTCTGTGCTTTTGAGCAAGATGTGTAGAGCTCTCATTTCAGATCCATCTTTGATGCTGGCATTCACTGAGCACTAACATGAGCTAGTTGAAATGATGCCTCTAGATCTCTGTACATATGCTGAAAGCTGAAACAGTGGATCATCTCATAAAGAGTCATCACTATAATAGATATGTCACAAGTACTTATTTTAAAAGTGGTGGATGAGATAGTCTCTGTTTCCAGAAATAAAACTGTACATTTAGGCAATGAGAAGAACATAGAGTTTATTCTATTGAAAGCGTAAAATGTGTAAAACTTCTGATGAGAGCAAAGCAGAAAGGGACGATGTCTATACTCCTGGCTTTTGCTTGCATTAATATATTGACAGGTATTGGGAGATGTGATAGAAGGTCTGACTGACATAGCTGCCCTGACCCAGAAGTCAGGAATATAACTGCAAATTCTGGTTCCCCTTCTCCCCTGGCCTGACATGACTTTTGTCAGGTGGTTTGTCAGGTGGCTTTAAAACACTGGTATAAAACACAGCTTTGCTGGTATAGCTTCACCTCTGCTGATCTCTCTTTGATTTGTATACAAAACTGTAAAATGCCTCTATGGTAGAGTCATTTGGAATGCGTTATGAATACCCAATGGCTGTAATTTGCCTTTAAAATATCAAATTTTTCCATTCCTCCTAGAAGTGCTGGAATTCTCCATTTGCAAAGTATGCCGAAAACAACCACTTTCTGGTTAAAGCTGTGTATTGTCTGACTTGGTTAAAAAGCAAAGACTTTTAACTGCTTTTTATAAGATCTGTTCCAGTGAAACCACTGTTAACTTTGCAGAGATTTGGTTATTCTTTCTTTAAAAAGTCAACTTCTTTTATCAGCCAAAGAACAAGTCATTTGATTAATGATCATTTTTATCTCTTTGAAAGGATCCTTTCCGACCATTGGGGTGAAGTCTCTTTCGAGATTCCTGAGGGCGGGATTTTTAAATAGCATCCTGGCCTCACATCCAGTGTCAGGGGGCGGATCTTTACCCCCCAGCATTTTCTCTGGTAGGTATTCCAGCCTGTTCCCCCACATTGATTTTTCCCTTCACCCTTTGCCCCATCTCTCCACGCATCTTAGGGAAACAAAATTTGATATTGGTCAGACAGGGAGATTAGATGTCCCTTCCAATAAAAAGCCAAACTGAAAGGAAATGGAAAAGATAAATAACTTTTCAGAAACTGGCCAGTTTTCCTGAATCAATGTATAGGAGAAATTGTGAGGGAAACTGATCTGTAGTGAAGTGGTCAGCCTAAATATTGGAAGAGAAGGCTTGGTATAGCCTGATCATGCACTTCATGAAGCATGCCCATGTGCACCAGGGAAATATAACTTTAAAAATGCCTCTATAAAATACCAGATTTTATGTGATTTAGTGACACCTTCCTAAAAATTTACATTCCCTTGCTAAAACACGGAAGCAAAACAAATTCGGAAAGGCAAAATTTAATTATGTGTTGATATAGTAGTGTTTAAATCCTTTGTATGCTTCTGTAATTGCAACTTGTATCTCACGAAAACCGCCTTAACTTTTTTTAATAACTTTTATCACAGTTTGAACTACTATAATTCTCTTAAACCCAATTGCCTGTGTTGCCAGCACGGTATTCTGCACTGCCTGCGGCGAGGTTCCCAGCAGAGGCAGAGCTGTACAATGGCAGGAGGGACCCTGGAGGGTTGGCATAAGGTTGAAATTAGGCCAAGAACGAGACCACCATGCCAGGTGAACTGGCTGCTATCAGATACTGGGCTGAAACAGGAAAGGACAGGTTAGAGGCATCCTTTCCCAGAAAGGCTGTATGTGCTATCCATTCTCTTCTGGAGCCATTAAACACCATCTTCCACCAAAGTTAATAAATGAAGAATAAATACATGTATCTTAATTATAGTTAAAACTGAATCAAAGTTCAGTTCTGTTCCTTTCCAAACTACATATTTCTATGTAAAATTAATCTGTACATGGGCTAATGTCACACTTGTATCCTTTCAGGACATCTTACCTTTAATGTTACTTACAGTTTTTCTTAAAGAGGAAAAATCTCTTACGGTAAAAGTAGGGAGAAAACTGAAAAATTATATAATGTTATTGATTTGCTATACAAAAGAAACTGTTCTGCTTCTCTATGCCCCATTTTATCTATTGCAATAATTATAGACCTCATTAATACAAGGTGATTCTTGCTTTTTTTTAAGTGCTATTATTTCTTTGTTTACTTTCTTTCTTTGAATAGAAGCTTCTCAGCAACTTTGATGTCTTTTCTTATGACTTTTGTCAACGGTTTGTAAAATACTTTCCATATTTTTTTCTCCTTGGTATATCTGAGTGTTTAATAGCCCTTAGGCTAGTTTGGCAGTCAGCATCACGATGAGATTGGTATCTGTAACCAAACAACTGTGGAAGAGGAAATACTCCAGGCCCCATAACATTCTCTGTTTTGAACACAGTGTTATGTATAGCATATCACTGATTCTATTAGATTACAGATGGCTTAACTGCACTCATGGACTGGCTTCTCACCTATGTACCTACCTACAAGTTTATTTTATAAGGTCCTCAGGACTGTTGTTTTCTGAGTGCTTGTAAAGCTTTTTATCACATTTTTTGGACTTAAATCATCACTCTTGAATGTGGTTTGTTTAATAAAACTGGTTCATAATTTCTTGCTATTAAATGTCTTTGACTAAGAATTCTGATTCAATCTGATGAAATATTCAAAACGGAAAAAATAGAAATGCAGCTACAAGATGTGCAACATATACCCTAGCAAGGTAATGGAAATAAATGTTGCTGTTTGATTATGTCAACAACAACAACAAAAATGAGCCAAGCAGCAATGCCACAGAAAGGGAGAGACTGCCCATCTTCTGGAAAGTGAGGATTGTCAGGTAGTTGAAAGCCAGTGAAGAACTGTGATAAATCTGATGGACAAGATGTGTTCCTTTGAGAAAGAGTGCATCTGGGGTCCAGGTGGCATGAAACGCCACAGTATAAGTCAGAAATTGCTGTTAAGAAATGTACCCTAATAATCTTATCTGTAGTGCTGCTATTTAACTCTTCCTTTTTTTACTTTGTCATATTTGTATTTACATTAAGCACAATCTTAATTCTGAATTGCCTTTCTTTGTTACAAAGATGACCAGATGATAACTTTCTAAATTGCTAAAACCAGTTTTGCTGTAATCCACACATTTACTGCATTTTTTGTGGGGGGGAAAAAAAAAAATCTGTTGAAGGGAATACTGATCTGGGATGTGAGAGACTCAGAACTGAGTGCATGATTCAGTGGAAAATATAAGTTCATCCTTGAATTATTAATCACTTTAGTACAAACAGAGAAGGGACGTACTCTTTGTTCCTTTTTATGGAAAAACACTGCCCTAAACACCTGACCTTTTTTCTGAGTATTGCTTTACCAAGGAACAAAGACACCCAAGGCAACAGTGCTCCAAGAAGGCATTTAAGCAATGATGTCTGTGCTATCAAGGCAGCCTCTGGCTGTTAGATCAGCTATAGGCAGGCAAAATCAACTGCCCATTGCAGTCTTGATGCTGTCTCCGCGGCTTATCCTCTGCCATTAAAAGGGAGAGGATTGCTGTTTGTGTACTGGAACTGGAGGGAAGCATGCTCGATTGCTGCCTTTGATAGCATAGTGACCCCACCTCCATTATCTGAGAGGTTGGGCTCATATTGGACTGTAGCTTTCATAAGCCTAACAGAAGTACTTAACGTTTAATAACTTTGCTGAATTATAACCTAATTGCTTCACATATAGCTTATGTCTAAGATTTCAGTGAATTTAACTACATGGAAGGCTTAAAATGCCTGCATTATTCTGTTAGTAGGGTCATTGGGAACAAAGATAATGGGATGTTTTTCATTTATCAAAACCTTTAACTCAAGCTAAGTGGCAGAGTTACTTCAAAATAGTCAGAAAATGTATTCCTTACTAAAGACAAAATGCTTTTACACCTTTTTTCTACAAAATTCCCCACAGATGTTTTAAGTGAAACACAGAACTAAACTGGAAAGCCTGCTGTAAATAAGTATCTGGAAAACAGCTTGGCAGGGCAATGTAGCTATTGGTTTCCTTTTTTCCCTTTCTACTTTTCACTCAATAGTTGGGAGGAGTGTATTTCTTTTACCATTGCACTGAGAGCTGATGTTCAGTTTTGTGTAATTTGGTATCTGCTTTTGCACCGTGCAGAGGTTGACTTATGTAAAAGGTATCCTCATTCAGCCAACTTAAAGATTAATTTATGCTGCCGCCATGGGGTGTTACATCTTTCTGCATAAATGGGCTGCCTCAAATGTAGGTGTTTTTTAAGCCTAGACATAATTATGCTAATGCAATAGTGCTTATATTTGATAGGTGCATTAAAAGTCTGTCACTGCTGTACAGCCATTTCACTAGAAGCAAAGCTTTCAGCAGGCCTCCAAATATCTATCCTAGATTTTTGCAAAAACTAACCCATTTTCAGACAATAGCTTCCTTTTGATTTAACTATCTTTTACGTCACAAATTACTTAGTTTCTAGTTATCCCACCTGTTAGCAGTACAAATTCACGTGACTTAGTTGATGTAGATCTATAATGACAGATGGATTCACATAAGCAACGAGTACTTCTTCTCAAGTGATATCCTTGCATATATTAAATAGAATTCTTAAACTACTTAGCAGTTTACACTCCTTATCATACTTACACTAGCACGAGCTGTGGAAGCTTACCCCTTCCTTCATAATTACACATACACACACACAAATATACACATATATATGCATGTTGTGAAAAACCAAATAATTAAATTGCCAGTGCTGCATCTATTTCTTCAAATTCCAGCTCTTCCAAAAACACTTACAGTGTTGTTTGCTCCCTTTTGGGGAAATTCTTAGCTTACTACTTTTGCTGTGTGTTGGCAGCTCTTGATTTCAGTCATGTGTAAAGGGTTTGTTATGTAAATGCGTACCCATATTGCCTGGCAGAAGTTAGGGATAGAAAAATTTATGGTATGCTGCTGTCTTTGAAGAGTGTCAGACAGATTGTTAAGCTTGCTGTGTTGGAAAGGAAGGGAGTGAAAGCAAATACCTTTCCTATGGTTTCTTTCAAGCTAAACTCCTTTCCTGAGTTTTTCTGTTGACAAGAACAACTAGAACAACTAGAGATGGGTGTTAGACTATGAGAAACTACGGAAAAGTTCCTGCTAAGCGAACCTCCCAGACCCCCTTCATAGTGTTCAGCATTCAAACTACATTAGCAGGAGAGGGGAAAAAAACATCAAAATTATTCTTTCCGTACACACCTTTCTATGAACCTCAGTGCTGTGATTTGCTTTTGAATCCTCTGATCTCCCTATGTAGCCAGCAGCTGGATCATTGCCCCCTATTTCATTCACAGAGTATCTCTCTGAAGCTTCTGTGAAAGTATCTTGATGTGACTTCTTTAACGAAGTATGAGGATCAGTTACTCCCTACCACTTATTTTGCAAGGGTTAATTATCCAGCTCTTTTACATTTTAGGAAAATGGAAGCAAAGAAATAAGGCTTGATTAAAAAATCCACTCCTGTGAACCTCAAAAAATACATTATATGCAAGAAATGAGGATGCACTTACTTTCCAGAAACTTAGAAGTGATATAGGACAGTTTGCTCACTGCTGTCTTGGACTAGGTAATGACAGGACTCCTCCTCCACATGAAGTATATTATACAGAGGATATCCCCTTTTCAGTGTTTTACTGCCTGGTTGTCTATGACTGTTTGTCTAACATACATTGTAATGTTCACATTTATTACAGAGAGTTTCTCAAAAAATGCAGACATAAGTGTAGAATACTAAACCAGATGATTATCAGTTTTCTTTTCCCCAAAATTAATATTTTATTACAATTTCCAAGTGCACCTGAGTGAGCCCATTATTCTTGATATTGTATAAACTGACAATTGAAAGCAAATTGTATTGACAGGCCCTTATTGAACAAGGTTACTCAACAAGAACCATCAAGGAGCAA